GAGTGCAGAGCAGCACTACTGGGGGCCTTTGGGCTGGGAAAGAAGGGTAAGAAAACAGAAGCAGAGGGGTGAGGAGGTGCTGGGGGGCTGGAAGGGGAAACGTGAGAGGTGGGAGGAGGAGGTGCCACGGCCAAGCGGCCCCCACTCACCTGCCCCCCCCCGAAGCGCTTGCGGAGGGCGTCGATGCGCTCACTCTCCAGCTTCTGGAAGAGCGGACTCACCTGGGGGCAACGAGAAGCAGGCTGAGCGCTGGGAGCCCCCCATCGCCCCCCGCCCCCCCTGCTGCCCCCATACCGTGCCCACGCGGTGGCCGGGGGGCAGCGTGCAGGTGAAGACGTGGCTGAGCACCGAGCGCTCCGGGGGCAGGCAGAGCTGAGCCTCGATGGCCGCGCCGACGGCCGGCATGTAGGGCTGCACCAGGACGGCCAGCAGCGCCGCCACGTTCACCGCCACGCCGGTCACGGTGCCGGCACGCTGCCTGTGGGATGCGAGGCTGACATGGGCGCTGAGTCCCGGCCCCACGCCCCCCCCACGATGCTCTGCCCCCCCTTCACCTGTCCTCCTCGCCGCCCTTGATGCGCTTCCAGGGCTCGTTCACCTGGATGTATTGGTTGCCGTGGCGGGAGATGTTGAGGACGCAGCGCAGGGCGTCGCGGATGCTGGGGGGGGGACAGACGGATGGGGGGACAGACAGAAGGGGTCAGCGGGTGCCGGGGGAGCGCCCGCCCCCCTCCCATCCTGAGCCCGGCCCCCGGCCACACACCGGACCGTCTCCAGCAGCCGGTGGTACTGCCGCAGCTCCGCGGTGACGCGAGCCAGGAGCCGGTGGTCATCCGGCGTCAGCGCCATGGGGGGCACCGCGCCGCCGAAGAACTTGCAGACAAACATCCCGGCTCTGCGGACAGAGGGACGGACGGAGCGGTGTGACGGCAGCCCAGGGACAGACAGAGCAGTGTGACGGCAGCCCAGGGGCGGACGCTCGGCCCCCCGCTGCCTCCCACCTGTTGATGAAGTTGCCCAGGTTGTTCAGCAGCTCCGAGTTGTTCTTCAGCATGAGGTCGCTCCAGGAGAAGGCGCTGTCCTGGCTCTCGGGCCGCACGTACAGCAGGTAGAAGCGCCAGACGTCGGCGGCGATGCCCGTGTCCTTGGCCATGTCCCCAAACACCCCCACGCCGCGGCTCTTGGAGAACTTCCCGTCCTCGTAGTTCAGGTACTCTGGGGGGGGAGGCAGGGAACGGCCCCACGGGGCGTCAGAGCCCCAGGTTATGGTCCCACAGAGCAGTCACGTCCCACGGCATGGTCGCAGCCCCACGGAACCGTTACAGCCCCACAGAGTGGCCGTGGCCCTCGGTCACAGCCCCACAGCATCGTCACAGCCCCACAGAGCAGGCACAGCCCCATAGAGAGGGCACAACAACCACAGAGCCATCGCAGCCCCACGGAACCACCCCAGCCCCACAGACCAGTCGCAGCAACCACACAACAGTCACAGCCCTACAGAACCATCGTGGAGCCATCGCAGCCCCACTGCGCTCAGAGGCCCCATTCACAGCCCCACAGGGCGCTCGCGGCTCCTGCTCACGGCCCCCCCTTACAACCCCAGCCCCATTCCAGACATGGGGGCCCCCCCGACCCCCCCAGCACCTGTGGCAATGAGGTGGTTCACCAGCGTGTAATTGTCATCGGCGCCCAGCAGCGAGCAGGGGAACACAACGCTGTGGAAAGGCACGTTGTCCTTGGCCATGAAGTTGTACAGCTCCACCTGAGGGGGACGCGGGTCAGCAAAGCCCCCACCGGGCCCCCCCCGCCCCCCCCCGCGCCCCCCTGCTGTGCCCCCCCACCTGCTGCGGGTTCTTCCACCAGCGCTCCCAGTGCTCCGTGTAGTTGGCAGTGATGGACAGGTAGCCGATGGGGGCGTCGAACCACACGTAGAACACCTGCGTGGGGATGGGGGGCGACGCGCTCGGTGCTGGGCCCCTGCCGGCACCCGCCTCGCCCTGGCGGCACCCACCTTGTCCCTGAAGCCGTCCAGAGGCACAGGCGTCCCCCACTGCAGGTCCCGCGTGATGCAGCGCGGCCGCAGCCCATCGCGGATCCAGGAGCGCGTGATGTAGCGCGCGTTGGCCGTCCAGTTCCCCGCAGCCCAGCACTTCTCCAGCCACGGCTGCAGCCGCTCCTCCAGCTGCGGGCAGCGCGCGGAAATGAGCAAAGCGTGGGGCGCAGCTCTGCCCCCTTTGGCCCCGGGGGGAGGGAGGGGGAGGGGGGTAACACCCACCTTGGGCAGGTCAAGGAAGAGATGCTGGGTGGGCCGCACCACAGGGCTGCCACCGCACAGCTTGCAGCGAGGGGCCTGCCACCAAAGCACGGTTCAGATGTTGGCCAGCACAACGGCAGGCTGTGGGCAGAGCTGGAGAGCCCCGCTCCCCTTCAGCTCCCCTTCATCCCTTCTTCGGCTCCCTTTCGGCTCCCCTTCATCTCCCCTTCCCTTCATCCCTCCTTCAACTCCTCATTCCTCTTCCCTTCAGCTCCCCTTCATCCCTCCTTTGGCTCCCCTTCCTCTTCCTTTCATCCCTTCTTCAGCTCCCCTTCCTCTTCCCTTTCGCTCCCCTTCGGCTCCCCTTCATCCCTCCTTTGGCTCCCCTTCCTCTTCCCTTCATCCCTCCTTCAACTCCCCATTCCTCTTCCCTTCGGCTCCCCTTCATCCCTCCTTTGGCTCCTCTTCCTCTTCCCTTCATCCCTCCTTCGGCTCCCCGTTCCTCTCACCTTCAGCTCCACGGCGTTGATGAGCTTGCCGCATTTGTCGCACTGATCGCCGCGCGCCTCCTGGTAGGCGCAGAAGGGACAGACGCCCTCCACAAAGCGGTCGGCCAGGAAGCGCTGGCAGCCGGCGCAGTGCAGCTGCTGCACCGTGTCCTGCAGCACGAAGCCCCGGGCCTGCAGGCGCTGGAAGATGTCCTGTGAAATGCTGCAGGGTGATGGGAAGGAGTGAGGTGGTGGCAGCTGGGGGTGCTGAGAACCCCGGGATGTTCTGATGTTCCCCCCCCCCCCCCCCCTCAACCAAAAATGCTGAGCAAGGAGAGAAAGGAGCGAAAGGGGCTCA